AATACAAAATGTGGACAGAACGATTAAAAGTTTTGTTTACAAAAGTAAAGTTAAATATTTCGCGCATCGTAGATTTTTTGATTATTAAACCGCGAACGCTAACTAATAATATAAAAACTATGTGACAAAAGCCACATACTTTGTGAATTCAGCGCACCTCGCAGAAATCTTCATCCAACATGCAAAGCAACAATTCAGCCAACTGGAGCAACAGAAGCAACCATTGGAACAGCAAATGTTGGCATCGGTATTGCTAAATGCAGGTGGGATTTTGCCGGCTGTCGCCGCGCTACCATCACAACACCATTCCGAAGATTCCACCGCTTACGGCGCAGAAGGTTTCCATGCCAGTTGATGATGAGGAACTTAAGAAAACCGCCTGGAGTTGATGATAATAGTTATGGCGGTGTCGGGAATCACCACTATCGGAAACAACAGCAATATGACAGCAACATAAATTTCGTTCCACCAAGTGATCCGTAGCAAAATAACTTTGCGCTCCACAACATGCCGCAGCAGGGTGGAGCGGGGAATTTCTTTCTACCGGACATGACAAAACCGCCTCCAGGTTTTGCGGGCAGTGCTCCGCCTAGTGTCGATGGCAACAATCAAAACTTTGTTAAATTAAAGCTTTAAATTTGAATAGAAGCTAGAGTGATACAAATAACAAGTATAGAGTTTTTAATAATTTAACTTTATGAAAAAGTTGTACCAAAAGTAATTGAGCTGATTGTGTATAGCGTAAAAACATTGTGATGCAGCGCTCAGGTAGCAGGAAGAGTTGGTTGTGGTGGTTGACCACTATGTTATGGCATCTATGTCTAGCTCATCGACCGATGAGAGCTTCGATGCACCAAATCTGAAATTTCACGTGTCCAGTTCAAGTGAAGATGTTTGCAAATATACGGGCGGTCATGCCAATCCCGAGGATATAGAGGGGTTGAGATATCATTGTCCACTGTGTGTAAAATCCCAACACCAACATAATTTTCACTGTTGCTGATGCGTGCGTAATGGTATCATTGTGCACAGTAATGTTGCTGGTTGTATGCAGAAGGAAAAGTAAGTTGGGCACATACATATATGCAATTCAATGCTAAAGATTGCAGCTTGGAATAAATTTCATTCTCTTTCAGCCTTTTTGAGAAACAACAGAAATATATTAATATTAAAGGCGGCCTCAACGACTTGAGTATTCGATATTAACACTTCATGCGTGAGCAGCGCTCCAGCGAACACTTGCAATGTGAAATTAAACGTAAAAAGCAGAGGATTCAACTGCTCAATAGATTGATAACTTAAAAGCAACAAAAAGAACAAAGGGATCTGCGGTGCAATGCAAACACTGATAAACGCAAACAGTGCCAAACTATCAAATTAGGGTGAAAGCTCTAGAGAATTATGTTTTCGATAGACTCGAAAAAATTATTAAATTGCGAGAGTGTTATGGTGGGATGATGGATAAAGTGTAGCAAGTGACACGTCAAGATATAAACCAACTGGTGAAGTATATATTTCCAATTTCGTAGGTTGTGTTGCAAGACGAAAAACATCTTAAGGCGATTATTGGCGAGGTGCGATACCAAGTGCTGGACCCGGTGGTGACGCCAGCAATGAAACCAACACTATGGAACAATTGGCCGATGCTAGAAACACATATTATATACGCGGAAAATGGGTGTTTCATGGCAGTGGGATTAGTGAGATGAGGAGGAACTACAAAAATATGGTTCCTGCTTTAATCAAAACCATATTAGTCAAACTTTCAAACATTACACAGAACTTAGAAAAATTCAACGAATTTTCGCCTTAATTTTGAACTTTTTAATATGAAATCTTAGAAATATTTTCAGTACGCAGAAAGAGTCTTTTTAATTCTAGTAAAACAAGCGAAAGTTTTAACTGGCAAAAATTCGCGTTGATTTTTAATAATTTTTTAAATTTATGTAAATTTATTGTAGCCCTAAAAAGAGCCTTTTATATTAATTTGTTGTAGCCCTTAAAAGGGCCTTTTATGCTCGCATGTACATTTGTTAAAACTTTGATCTCTTTCTAAATTTATTGTGGCCCTAAAAAGGGCCTTTTAAGTTAATTTATGCTCGTACATATATAAATTTGTAAAAACTTTGATCTCTTTCTAAATTTATTGTGGCCATAAAAAGGGCCTTTTATGTTAATTTATGCTCGTATATACATACATTTGAAAAAACTTTGATCTCTTTACAAATTTTTGGCGGCCCTGACAAGGGCCGTTTATGTATCAACAGTACTGACCTGTAAATAAATAAATTTATGTTGCAATGTAATTTGTGAATAATTTTCTTACTCGTGGCATGCTAAGTTTTGACATTAGTATATTACACTTCTGATATGATTTCTCCCACTTCCAAGCTGCAAACGAACGGAATTTGTAAAATGTATTCAATATGTAAATTTATAACTTACCCTATATGCTGCATACCCTGCCTATTTGTTGGTGGTACCAAGCGCATTTAGGTCAGAATTTTTGTATATTTTCTTTTTTTTGTGGGCATTATCAGTGAGTTCTTTATTTAATTTGCTTATTTTAAAGAACATTCTTGCCCTGAAAAATAACTTTTTCACTTTAATATCGCAATGAATATTCGAGGCTTGCTCAATATGTTTTTTTACAAAGCCATTTGTAATGAGCAAGCCATCTTCGTTCATTGCTTGAAATACTGACTCTAGATTACGCATTTGGTCCATCATTGAAGAGCTGGGTATTTTCAAACCACCCTCACTCAAGTGATTTGCCCAGGAAAACGATGGGTCATCATTACCTCTGAGCGATGTGCTGGGAATATCATCGTGAAGTTTATGGCAAATGTACCCCGCTAAATGCTGGAGGCCATCGAACTCCAATTCGCTGAACTCGGCTTCTTCGACCGGCCATAGTTCTACGGGGCGATCTTGAAGGTTTTGAAGGAAAATACCTGAAAAAATTATTTTTGTTTATTACATTACTTATAAATACATTTTAAATAAATTGTAATCAAGGTTCAAGTACCTGTGAGTGGAGGTTGTGTCATCTCCAAGTCAGGTGTGTCGTCCTCCTCAACATACGCCGAGTCGGATAACACGCCTTTGTTGTGGCCAAGCAGATATAGTCTGAGGCGGTATTTGAACTCCTGCTGGTCAGGGTGGTCGTGCAACCCACCTTTAGAACGTATCACGCCAAAAAAGTTTTCCAGGACGTCCTGGTTGAGGCGATACGTTAGCACGTATTTTGCATTGAATCGCGATTTTATCTCCTCAAACATCAGCTTCAATGCATTGTTTGTTTGTATGATTCCTTAGGAGGAAAAAATGAAATATATTTAATGTTTTAAAAAGCGATGGAAAATTTACAATTTATATACAGACAGGCATGTTCCAGAAAAGTAGTATAATGAAAATGAAGTGAAAATCAAAAATACAACTTTTCATTTTTGATGTTCTAGAAAAGAAGCGATTTGCTGGTTCATTTTTAAAACTTGATGTTCGAAAAAACTGAATTCAAAAGCATTGGGTAAAATGTAGAACACCAAAATGTATAATTGAAGTATTTTTAAAAAACTTTCTTTCCAAAGTAGAATGCAGTACATGCCCGATTTATTGATTTAGACAAGAATGCACTGTGATATTTAGATAAGTTTGAGCTTACCTTTCTGAAATGGAAGAAGAGAGTACTTTCCCATTACTCGCATATTCTTCATTAAACCAGTCATCTCGTCCAAAATTTTGTCCTGCTCCTCCTTTGCTAAGCCATAAGCGTGACACCGCTTTCTAGAATCAGCGTGAGGCACCCTAACGTTGAGCACATCAAACCAGTCATTTGTCTAAAATGTGTAGAATTTTAACATAAATATATGTATACATGTAAGTATTTATATAGAATTATATTTATTAATAATTACTACTTTAAAAAGCTGGAAGCATTCGTTCCAGTTTTTGTCTTTTAAGTGGCCCAAAGAAGCAGCCCTAGTTATGGCATGAGCAACAGTGTGGGATAAAAGCTTCGCTGCCGTCTTCACTTTCTGGCGGTGAGGTCCAGCCACGTTCAAATGACTTGCTGAAATTTTGTGTGTGATTATCAAGTTCCCATTTATAAGGAAACCTTGACCAAGGAAATGATTTCGGAGCAATTTCAACAAGTGAGGAACATCAGCGAAAACGAAAACTTTGTGGTCATTGAATATGAACCTGTGAACCGAAATGTGCAAATATTTGAATAATTTTTTGTACATGTGTATGTAGATATGTAAATGTGTCATGCTTACTACGGCTTATCCTCTGTTATGCCCAGCTCATTGAAGAGTGACCTATTAGTGCCTCCTAAATCACACACCATAGCCAAAACATTATACCCACAGTTCTGGGACTTCTCCAAAATGTTTTCCAACACCTTGCAAGTCATTTTACGGTCGAAATCGTAAAAGGCGGGCTGCTTCCACTTTGCCATGAGACCTAAGAAAGGGATCAATTTTAAAATCGTGAAATGGAAGTAAAAAAGTGCATTGTAGTGTTTACCTCTAAGCATAGCCACTTGAACATAATTCACAGGAGCTAGTGTTGAGTCCGACGAAACATCATAACAGTAAGTCTGTCTGACTGTCATTTCGTCGAAACTCAAAACGCATAGCTTCTGTGTGGTAGTCATATGTGTAGAGGCTTCCAGCAATTTGAATACCGACTGGATCAAACCTCTGGAGATGTCTACATTCTGGGCCTATCGCTGTAAGGTTCGGACACCTGGAAGCGGAAAGTCTTGCTTATAGAGGAGACGGTAAGCCTTGGGAGATGCAGCATAAAGCGTTATGGACTGTGCTATATCCTCTTCGGTCCACGTTTGCCTTTTCATAGCTTTTTTCATTTTGCTGATTTGACCATCAGTGAAAATCTTAGCCAACTTGTCTTCTATATTTTTCAGGTCCATCTTCACCTCCAACAGGCTTTTCTGCAACGACTCCATATCCCAAGCATGCTTTTTCTGCTGCAATTCCGATTCCTCCTGTAAACTGGCAATCTCGGTTTTTTGTTTCTGGTTTTCTTTTTTCAAAAAAGCGTTTTCGCGTAGCAGGTCTCTTCTATATAAGAAAAAGATGCAAAAAAAACGTTTCTCTTATATAATGAAAAGTTGTTTAAAGTTCACGAGAATTGTTCACGTAAAACATCAGTAAAAATAATGAATGGTATGAAACATGCAAACGCCTTTCGTCTCAAAATGTGTTACGATGAGATTACCCATTTTGAAATATTGTTTACATACACATGTATATACATCATAAAGGATTAAACTTACACTTTTGCTTGCAGGTCCTCAACTTCCATTAACGTGCTGTCGTAGTAAAACACCTTGCTAGGTGTAGTGACTCGATGTGGAGAATGCAACGGAGTCGAAGCATCGACGTATTCAGCAAAGGTCTCCTCGTCCTTCTCGTCATGGGTCAAAGAGGCTTCTGAAATTATTCTTTTTAAAATTTCAAGTACTTCACCTTATTTCAAAATCCATTACCTTTGGAGGTGGACTGCTCCAGTAAATCGCTCACAATTCTTTTGTACTCCTGCTGTTGAGATATCTTTTCCGCTTCGGAAATTTCCCTTCTTAAGAAAACGTTTTTTGGCGTAACCTAAGACAATAAAAAGTAAATATTATAGAAGGGTGTGCACTGCGATTGGGATATCTACTGCACCACCTTACTCCTAACTATAGGGAATGCAATAGGATGTTTATGGGCAAATAAACAGTATAACTTACCCATTTTAAATTGGAGGTCGTTCTCAATGTTATCGCGGGTCAGCGGGTTGAGCCCGCTTGGTCTGCGGCAGAACTCGACCCATTTTAGCAACAAATCAACATTTGATGGGAAGCTAAAAAAGCTCAAGCTAGATCTCTTTACGTGGACACTGTCACAATTTGCAACTGCACACTTCATTTTGAGTTAATTTTATTTAATAAAATAACTTTTTGGCACAATATTCACGCAATAATCACTTGCAAATTACTTATTTGTAAATTTGTTTGTAACAATCAAGTAGAAATGTCAGCACAAAAGAAAAATATAATGTGACGTCAGCGAAAGGGTGTTTGTCAAATCGACAAAGAGAGGACTAGCGGTCCACGGAAGGCGTGACCTTTATTTTCTGGATCGTGCTATGTAATATCTCATGGTTTCCAGACGGTCATAATTGGCTACCGTATATTGTTAAAACCGACTCTGATTCTTTACTTACTAGCACGTTTTTAGCTAGTGGGCTCAAAGAAATAAACGGAGTTTTAAATAATAACGATAGAATGTTGGACTTGGTGTTTATATCTGATGAATTAAAAGCTTCGTGTATGGAATGCTTGGCGCCTATGTCCGTCAATACCCAACATCATAAAGCTCTTACAGTTGAATTTGCATTTTATGATTATGAAGTCATTTCAAGTGAATGCGATCCAGAAAGAAATTTCTGTAAAGCTAATTGGGATGTGATTAAAGATATTCTCGGTAGTATAAACTAGTCTAATTTAGATGCTTCAGGGGATCCAGAAATAACGTACAGTCTCCTGCGAAACCAATTTTTAAAAATTATTTCCTCATCTGTGCCAATGAAACGAGTTCGGAACAGTAATAAACCTCCTTGGTTTAATCTTAGATTATCTAAGTTAAAGAAGTTAAAAAACCAGGCTTATAAAAAATATAGGTTAACAAATAATGCTGGCGACAAATTATCATTCTCTCAAATTCGTAAAAGCTTTGATTGCCTACAAGTTTTCTTTACAAGCAATATATTTTTAAAAAAGAATCAGGATTGAAACGTAATCCTGCAAGCTTTTGGCATTTTATTAATAGTAAGCGGAAAACAAATGGATTTCCAACTGTCCTACACTACGATGGGAGTGAATCTCATAGTCCGCTTGAAGCTTGTAACCTCTTTAGTAAATTTTTCCAACAGACATATGAGAAATACAACGATTCACATAACAATACATATAATTATTTACCGCTGGATGTGATATGCTCTTTTGACATATCTGAAGATGATGTGAAACTAGCAATTTCTTATTTAAAATCCAATACTAAGGCAGATATCGACGGTATTGCCACAATATTTTTTAAAAAGTTGTGTGAAGTTATCGCTGGACCTATTGCTTCGATTTTTAGCTTGTGCATCCGAAAAGGCAAATTTCTGGATGCTTGGAAAGTGTGTTCCATTACTCCGATATTTAAATCAAGGGATCGAAATGATGTTACGAATTATAGGCCAATTGTAAAACAAAGCACAATTGCAAAAATTTTTGATAATATTCAGCCCTATTCCGCATTTCGACTCGAATCGAAATTTTCTCCGTTTGGCAACTTTGGTATTCTGCGTTCCGTTTCCTTTCGATCAATCTTCGAAATTTAAGATTATACCTATTCTACATTTGGATCGTAGTTCCGTTTTTCTAAGTTGCAAATTTGTTGACGGAGAACGTTTCAATTGTTATTTTCGTGGGTTTAAATAATAAAATTTTATAAAAAATTTAAGTAAAATATACTGTGCATGATTGTAAAAGTCATAATAAATTAATTTTCTCGATTTCAGTTCAAGATGAATTCCTTATGACTCTTCACTCATCTGAAAATGATCAAACATGTCCCTAAATCTCCGCCTTTCAACTTCCGTATCAGCAATCTGGGACTCATTCTTCTCCTCAAGCAATAACGCAGCGGCTATGGATTTCATTCTTATAATTATGTATCCACTTAAATTTTATTTTTAAATTACAGTGATGCTAGGTATATTTAGTTATTTTAAAATATTTACAAACTTTAACTTCATATGCTGCTATAGTTTGGTGGTAAATATTTCTTTGTTTTGTTTCGATTTCACACATTCCTAGGCAAACAGCTCATTTCGAAAGATGTTTTCTCTCTCCCTCTTCTTCTTTCGTTTCGATTGTAACGAAGAATACCTAAGTTCGATTCCAGCGGAGCGGAATGCGGGAACGTAATCGAAATGCAGAATAGGGCTGATTATCAACACAAAGCTATTCAATCATGTAAATACATTAATAAATGAGGGCCAACATGGCTTTTTTCCTGGGCGATCTACATGCACTAATCTTTTATTATTAACAAAGGAAATAGTAACTCTTTTGAAGATAAATCGCAGCTGGATGTTATCTAAACCGATTTCTCCAAAGCTTTTGATAAGGTTGATCACTCTATTCTTTTGCATAAATTAAATATGTACGGCATAAGAGGTTCTTTACTCGATTTCTTCTTCAGTTTTCTTAAAGGTAGGAAGCTGTTTGTGCAGATTGACTCAAAAAATCTATTTCATTCGTTAAAGCGTGGTCGGGTATTCCCCAAGGAACACATTGCGGCCCATTGCTGTTCTTAATTTTTATTAATGACTTACCTCACTATTTACATCATGCGAAATGTCTTATGTTCGCTGACGATGTAAAACTGTTATTAAAAATCAACAATATATCGGACTGCCTTAAGTTGCAGGTTGATGTTGATTCGTTTCAAAGATGGTGTTCTCTTAATAATTTAAAATTAAACGTTAGCAAATGTTACGTAGTATCTTATACAAAACGAGCCGCCAGTTTGGAGTTTAGTTATTCCTTAAGTAGTTTAACTATAACCCGTATTACAGAAATAAAAGATCTTGGAATCATATTTGACAGTAAGCTTACCTTTGCCAAGCATGTCGATCTTATAGTTTCAAAAGCTTTTGGAATGATTGGCTTTATAAAAAGGAACACCGCGGATTTTAGGGACCCTCTAACTCTTAAAAGTTTGTATACTTCTCTAGTTAGAAGCCATTTGCAGTACTGCTCTCTAGTGTGGAATCCTTTTTATGAAGTCAGTACAAAGAAAGTTGAAAGAGTACAAAAAGTGTTTACTAAATTTGCTCTTTCTAAAATGTTCGGGTTTGCAAACTATCCGCCTTACATAAGTAGACGCAAGCTTCTTGGACTACAATCGCTACAGTACAGAAGAACATGTGCTTCCCTGCTCCTCGTTTATAGTCTAAAAAATGGTAGAATTAACTGTGGGAGTATAGTAAACTTTTTTAAGGCTCACATTCCTTCACGTAGTTTAAGAAATACTCGATTATTCGAGGAATCAACGCATGTTGAAAATTATGGCATTAATGAACCGATAACAAGATCTATCCGGTTGTGTAAAGGTATTGGCCCAATGCACGCTTGCTTTGCTTACTTTAGTTTGCTTTGCTTTACTTTGAAGGCTTTTATGGCCTAATGGTAGCTTTGAACGCTGTCATAGTAGTCAGCTGATTTTCAATGCGCGCAAATATACCCGCCATTCTTTGTTGTGCCAGCAAGTATAATTGTGAATTTTAGTTAAAATATATGTTATTAAACAATTATTTGTTACTAAGAACATTATTTTTTACAGATACCTTGCTTTTTTATCGTTCCGGTTTTGGTGAAGCTGCATTTGGCTGCGCCACTCACCACCCGTGTTTATAAGACGTAATATTCAATTGGAGGTAAAAGAGTTTATATTAAACAATTATTTGTTGCTAACAACATTATTTTTTTCAGATACCTTGCTTTTTATCGTTCCGGCCACCAGATTCGTTGGTTTTCATAAAGTTTCATTTGGCAGTACAAAATGTTGACTCGAAATGCTGAACAAGTTTTGAGAATTTTCCTAATTTTAGCGAAAATGCGTAAATTAAAACTGCGATTAAAACAGAAGCGCCGATTTTGGGTTCGGAAATTGTACTTAGAGCGACACAAATATGGATTGTTTGAAAGTTCATTAAGAAACTTGGCTGCAGATGAGGAGCAGTTTAACAAGACATTAAGAATGCCCTTTTCGTTATTTAATGTGCTGCACGAATTTCTGGAGGCTTCGCTGACCAAATATTCAATCAGAACACCAATATCGAGCCGCTGCAGACTATTTATAACCCTGATGTAAGAGAAAATCGGTTTTACTTAATAGTATACGTATAATTTTCCATATATGTATCTGGTTTTATTTTTTTGTTGCAGATATTTGGCTCACGGTGGCACTCGGCAATTCCACACAATAGTTCACAGGATCGGCCTGACGACTTTCAGGAAGATTACGTTGGAGACATGTATGACCATATGGGATCTGTTAGCTGACCTGTATGTGGCGACCCCGTCAGAAACGGAATGGGGACGTATTTCCAATGAGTTCAAGTCGCTGTGGAATATGCCCAACTGCGTTGGTTCCATCGACGGAAAGCACATTAATATTACCTGTCCAGCGAATTCAGGGTCGATGTACTATAATTACAAAGGCAATTATAGTATCGTGCTTTTGGCCGTATGTGATGCCAATTATACCTTTACCTGCGTTGACATCGGAGCATATGGAAGTCAAAGCGATGGCGGTGTCTACCACTTTTCAAAACTGGCAGATGCTATTGAAAATGATAGGCTCGGCCTTCCACATGATCAGCCTCTGCCAGGAGAAACCGAGCCATTTCCACATTATTTAGTAGGAGATGCTGCTTTTCCCTTACGGCGTTATTTAATGCGACCATATCCGGGTAGAGGTATTCCAGAAGAGCAAGAGTATTTCAATAAAAGACTCTCTCGTGCAAGAAGAGTTATAGAAAACGCATTTGGAATACTCACTGCCAAATGGAGAATATTGAGAACGACGCTATGCATGGCCCCGAAAAATGCAGAACAAATAGTGAAAGCTTGTATTGTCTTGCATAATTTTATTAAGCTTTCGTGTGCAAACTATGTAGCAAGCGATTTTGTTGATCG